CTCTGGCTGTAACGTGCTTCCTTGGAGGGGGGGGGAAGCACAGAGGTTTCCTATAATTTTCTAAATAAAGCCTTTGACATTCCAGCCCCACGGCTCTCCATGGGGTGGGGGGACAGGGACAGACCACCTGTCCCTCCCCGCTGTGACCCCCCCCCGGCGGGGCAAGCAGGTTTATTGAGTTGCTGTGCTGTGGGATGGGGGGGGTCCTGAGGTGGGGGTCCCGGTGCTGTGGTTGTGGTCCAGTGGGGGGGTCGCGGTGCCATGCGGGGGTCCCGGTGCAGTGCTGGTGTCCTGGTGCTGGTGTCCCCATGTGGTGCAGCAGTCCTGGTGGGGGGATCCTGCTGCAGCGTGGGGGTCCCGGTGTGGGGGTCCTGCCCCAGTGGGGGGGTCCCTCTCACCAGCAGAGCTGCCCGGGGCAGTACTTGTCGATGAGGGCCTGGTAGTAGCCCCGGAGCTGCTGGACGTCAGGCAGCTCCTCCTGCTTGGTGTACAGGTCGAACTTGCTGTGGGAGCCAGGAGGGGGGTGTCAGTGCTGAGGGGTGGCTCTGAGCCCCCCCAAATTCCCCCCCAGGTCACCCACTTGAGCTCCCGGACCCAGGGCAGCATGCGGAGGTCCTCCTCGGAGCAGAGGTGCATGTAGTCCCCGTGCGCGTGCCAGGGGTAGAAGGAGTGGAACCGCACCATGTAGAAGGCCTTGAGGGGGTGAGGGGGGGGGACAGGGATGTGCCAGCCCACCCTCCCCTGCCCCACGGCAGGGTTCTGCCCCACGGCACTCGGGGAGCTGCCCCACAGGTCCCCCTCCCCAAGCCCTCACCTCCTTGGGCAGGGTGAAGCGGTTGAACTTCATGACTCTGTACATGTACTCTGGGGAGAGAGGGGGGCGCGGGGCCGGGGCTGGACCCTCCTGTGGGGCAGGGATCCCGAGAGCCCCCGCCCCACACGAAAGGGCCCTGCCCCGAGGAGGGGACCCCCATCACCCCCCTCTCTCCCCCCGGTCCTTACCGTCGTGTCCCCAGGACATGAGGACGTTCTCCAGGCCGCAGCGGGGCTGGTACATCCCGTACTCGGTGCTGGGGAGGGAGCCAGGTCGGGGGGCTCAGGGCTGGACCCCTCCCCGGGGGTCCGACCCCAAGGAGTGGGGTGACTTGGGGGCAGGGTCCAACCCCAAGGTGTGGGGTGATGCGTGTAGGTTTGACCCCGAGGTGTGGGGGTCTGACCCCGAGGTGTGGGATGACCCCACACCCCATAGCGCCCCACAGCACCCCACGGCACCCTGCCTGGGGGTCCGGCCTCACCTGTACAGGGGGTCTTTGGTGTCGGGGTTGTCACGGAAGGTGGTGTCCCCGAAGACCACGGACTTCTGCACCTTGCAGCCCACCGGGAAGGTGTCCCCCACCACGGCCCACTGCGGGGGGGGCGGCAGGTGGCCCCCAGGGGGGTCCTCAGACCCACAGCCTGACCCCAGGGTGTGGGGCAATGCGTGGGGGTCTAACCCCAAGGTGTGAGGTGATGCAGGAAGGTCTGACCCCGAGGTGTGGGGCAACATGTTGGGGGTCAACCCCGAGGTGTGGGGTGATGCAGATGGTTCTGACGGCAACGTGTGGGACAATGTGCGGGGGTCTGACCCTGAGGTGTGGGGTGAGGCATGTGGGTCTGACCTCAAGATATGGGGCAATGCAGATGGGTCTGACCCCCGAGGTGTGGGGTGATGAGTGTGGGTCTGATCCTGAGGTGTGGGGTGATGAGTGTGGGTCCGACCCTGAGGTGTGGGGTGATGAGTGTGGGTCTGACCCCAAGGTGTGCGGTGATGCAGATGGGTACAACCCCAAGGTGTGGGGTGATGCCTGTGAGTCCACCCCCAAGGTGTGGGGCACTGCAGATGGGTCTGACACCGAGATGTGGGGGTCCAACCCCAAAGTGTGGGGCAACGCATGTGGGGGTCTGTCCCTGAGGTGTAGAGCAATGCATATGGGTCCGACCCCAAGATGTGGGGTTATGTCTGTGGGTCTGACCCCGAGGTGTGGGGCGCTGCAGATGGGTCCAGCACTGAGATGTGGGGGTCCAACCCCAAGGTGTGGGGCAATGCGTGTGGGGGTCTGACCCCGAGGTGTAGGGCAATGCAGATGGGTCCAACCTCAAGGTGTGGAGTGACACCTGTGTGTCTGACCCCGAGGTGTGGGGTGACACCTGTGGGTCTGACCCCGAGATGTGGGGTGCTGCTCACCTGGGGCTCCCCGAACAGCGCCAGCACCTTCCCCAGGTCGTGCAGCAGCCCCACGAGGTGGAACCAGTCTGGGGGCGAGCGGGGCCGTCACCCCCTGCGGGACGTGGCCCCACGGGGGGCTCTGTGTCTCCGGGGGGGGGGGGGGGGGTCGGCAGCCCCACCTTTGTCGGGGTGCGCCCTGCGGATGCCCTCGGCCGTCTGGTAGGCGTGGAAGGAGTTGGGGAAGTCCACGTCGGGGTCCGACTCGTCCACCAGCTGGTCCAGCAGCTCCAGCGCCTCCATGGCCCCCATCTTCCGCAGGGAGCAGCTCCCGTACTGGGCGCTCTGGAGAGACAGTGGGTGCTGGAGAGGGGGGGG